CTTGAATTTTGCAGGAAAATGGATGGAGCTAGAAAATATCATTTTGAGTGAGGTAACCCAGACCCAGAAAGTTAATTATCACACGTACTCACTCATAAGTAGTTCTTAAACATAAATCAAAGATAACCAACCCACCAGGGTTCCCTGCCCTCTCTCAAGGAGGGAGGGGGAGGAAGGAGAGAAAGTGAGGGAGTGGGAGGGGATTGGGAGGAGGGAAGGAAGTGTAAATATTTGAATGGAAAAAAAATTTCCATATGTGAATTTGAGAGGGACACAAACATTCAGTCTATAAAAATAACATTCATATTTGGATCTGTAATCATAACTAAGTCTTCTTTGCTTTGTCTAGAACTTAATTGGGGAGGTGAAATCAATACACTTAAATAATTATTTGTTATTTCAAACCAAATTAGTATTGCAAAACAATATAATCTGCCTTATAAATCCTGGATTATCCATAAACCCTCAAAAAAAAAAAAAGAAAAAGGAAAAGAAAAAGAAAACCAGCCTACAAATCACAATTCCAGAGAACCTAGACAACAATGAGGACTCTAAGAGAGACATACATAGATCTAATCTACAGGTTAGTAGAGAAAGACAAGATCTTCTGAGTAAATTGGGAGCATGGAGACCTTGGGAGAGGGTTGAAGGGGAGGGAAGATGAAGGCGCAAGTCACAAACACTCCCACATCAGTTTGGAATTATGATTAATAGAATGGTTATTTATTTAAGGGGGAAAAACTTACAGATCACCGTCCCAGACAACAGCCCTCTGCACAATCAGGAAGGGAGCCTAGTCGCCGGAAGCGGACCCGGAAGCCAGAGAGCAAGCGGAGGGAAGTGGCCGCTTTTTTAAAGCGAGAGAGACCATACCCCAATGGGCTGGTATCTCAGCGGCTATTGGTGAAGGAGTGGAAGGAGCTCCCAAAACAGGAAGAGGCTGGGAGGGTGGGGAGCAGAGAAAAATGTAGAACTCAATAAAAATCAATAAAAAAAGAAAAAAGAAACCCTCTCAAAATAGATACATGATCTTTAAATTTTTTTTATTTGTAGGGTTTTGTTTTTTGTTTGTTTGTTGAGACAGAATCTCAGTGTGTACCTGTGTATTACCAAGTGTTTTTATTTCAGATGGGTCTCATTGGGTAGATAGTGTGTACTGGCCCAACATGTTTATGGCTCTGCATGCACAAGGCATGTCGTCCCAGTGGGCTAAGAAGTCATGATTCCAAGGTCAGCCTGGACTTCAAGAGCCTGTTTTAAAAACTAACACCCCCAGAACAATGATTAACGAAAGATCATGGCTCAGTGGATGTTATGGGATGGTTCAGCAGGTAAAGGTGCTTGTAGACAAAGCATGACAGCTTTGGTCCTTAAGACCCACGGGTTGAGAGAACTAGGTCCCACAGGCTGCCATCTTACTTTTGCACAGTACTATGTAGGTATAGAGACACAAATAAAAGAATAGTAAGTTAAATCTTAAAAGAAATAAAAAGGGATGAGAGATGATTCAGTACTTTAGTACTTTTTGAAGAAAACACAGTTCAGTTTCCAGCATTCACATGGTGGCTCACATCTGTAACTCCAAAGTTTTAGGAGATCCAACCCCTTTTTGTCAAATGGACAGTGCCCTCATATGCAGAAAGGTGCCCATGATGTGGAAATACCTTCAGGAGAGCATAGTGGCAGGAGCAATTCATGTGTAAGATCTCCTCTTCTTTTCTCATGCCTGGAAGCAAGCTCCAGTAGCTGCCTCTGCAGCTAGGTCATATGCCTGGTAGGGTGTCTTCCCATGTGCCCCAGTACTTCCTGGCTGCAACTCAAATGGAGAGATGCATTATCAAGGTTCTCAGTTTGAATCCTAGTACCTCCCCAAATAGATAATATCTCTGTAAATGTGTGTATAATTATGTACTTGTAAAGATTTTTGACACATTTTATTTCTTTTGTATTTGCAGGTAGCTGTACATGTCACAGTGCAGAGGTGGTAGCCAGAGAATTGCTTGAGAATTGGTTCTTTCCTTCCATCATATGGGGAGCAAACATAGGTAGCTAGTGTTGGCATCAGGCCACAGAATTGGCTGTCCCAGCTTGCTGTCTCTAACTGTACATATTACAAACTATGGGAGTATGTTTATGGTATGTATCTGAGAGTGGCATATTGATGTGTAGGGCATGTGTGATGCATGTGTCAGCATGGTTGCCATCTTTGCATGTGTGTTTGGAGAAGTCTTCATGGGTGTTTGGGTTTGTGGGAATCCTCTGTGCCAGAGGTGTTGTAAATGCACCTGTAAATGCCTGTGTAAAGCTCTGGCTGTCAGGGTTGACCTGGCCAAACTTATCAAGCCCATTTCACCTGTCGTGGTTCTACCCACCTCAGCACTTGTGGTTCCCTTTCCCAGCCTCTGCCCTGTCCACTGCTGGACTTTTCTTGGATGTGGCCCTGTACAATCTACCCCTGTCAGTAGTGGCTCCACCCAATGTGATGAATGCCCCTATTCTAATCCTCCTCCTAAGTTCCCCAAACTTTAACACCCATCTATGTCTCCAACCTGATCCAATCTGTTTCATCCCCCAGCCACTTACACTACCCTTCCCAACCTGTCGCTGTGCCCACAGCAGCAACCCAACATTCCAGGCCCCCTCTCTGGTCCCAACCATTCCAGGCCCCACCAACCTTCCACAGTCTATACAGCACATCTTAGCAGCAGAGGGAATTGTAATGTGACAAGAAACCTAAGGCATTAAGGCAACTTTCTATGTAACTTGCTTGTGCCTTCAGGATATGCTCAGCCAAATCATAAATATATCACTTCCATTTAATAAGGGATTGATGCTGCAAATGTTCTAATTTATGGTTTGATGGGGCAGATAATACCCATCTTCTTATGTACAGGAAGCTCAGGTTGGATGGTAACATGGTGGCCCATTGTCAAGTGTTCAGTGTTCACTAAGGCTGAATAGCCGGCCAATAGCTGTCTCTAAAAGCAAACATTTGTGTACAGATGGTGGAGCCATATTCCAGCATCCCAAAGATCTGTTCTATGACTCAACTGTAGAGAATCAGCAAAGGCTCCTAAGAGCATCCCTATCTGCCACTGACACTTCAAGTACCATAGAGCCTGTTGGATCATATGATCCAAGTGATAGATCCAAGTGATAGATCCTGCACCGCACCCTGGACCGGTTGAAGAACCTTTTCCTATTCCATGACCCACACAATAGTAGCAGCTTTCCGAGTCACTTGATACATAGGCTGGAATAACATGCCCAGGAGAGGAATTTGCTGTCTCTAGAATCCAAACAGAGACATTAAGTGTTGTGCTTCTTTCTTCGTGGTAGAAGGGGTACAAGTGCAATAACTTGTCCTTCACCTTAGCAGGAATATCACTGCATGTCACACAGTACTAGACTTCTAAGAACATTAATGAGGTAGAAGGCCCTTGAATTTTGGTTGGATTTATGTCCCATCCTCTGCTGGGCATGTGTTACTAAAGAGTTCAGTGTGGTTACTACCTCCTGCTCACTTGATCCATTCAATATAATGTCATCATATAGTACGGCAATCTGATATTTTGTTGAAGATAAACAAAGTTATAAAGATCCCATTTGCTAGTTAATAATTTCTGACCTTTATCCTGTAAATAAATCCATCGCAAAGGCTTATCCTCTAGTGCTATAACACCACAGGAGACAATTTAATGGGAGAAATAAGTTTGAAGGCAGTGAAGAATACACATGATGCACAAATGCCTCACTTGTTTGAAATTCAAATAACTGGAATTATTTTTGCCTCTCAGGATAATTTGTAAAGACAGTACAATGCCATTTCTCCTTCTATAGTTTTAAATAGATTGGTTATTCCACAATCAGATGCTAAACATTTTGATTTTGATGACACTGGAAATAACATTTGGAGATCCTGGGGCTAAGAAGGAATTCATAAATGAAATTAGCATTTTCACTGGCTGTCATAAGTCATTAATGAAGTGGGTGCTGAGAACTGAGCCTGGGTTCTTGGGTAAAGCAGACATCAGATTCCTTTTTTGAGACAAGATCTCTCTCTATACCTATGGCCATCCTGGAACACAATATCTGACCCAACTGGCCTCAAAACTCAGATCTTCTTGACTTTCTTTTCCAAGTTCTGGGATTATAAGACCAAAACACTATACCCAAGAGAGATTTTTTTTAAATGACCCAACTTTGAATCAGACAATGCAAGGATAATATAAGATTTAAACAAGAAGCATCATATTTTTTAAATAAACAGTAATGGTTCTAGGATTTTTTCAATGAATTGATTTCAAAGGATAATATCATTCCTGTTTTAAAACATTTTTAACTCTGGCTGGGTGGTGCTGGCACACCTTTAAGCCCTACACATGGGAAGCAGAGGAACATGGATATCCCTGAGACTGAGGTCAGCCTTATCTACAGAATGAGTTTCAGGACTATGAAGCCTTCACTGCTAAACAATGACTCCAAAAATAAAAAAGAATTACTGTGTATAAACAACAGTGCCATGGTGTCCACGTGCCAGTCAGAAGACAATTTACAGGTATCTCGTCTCTAGTTCCGATATGTGAGTACTAGAGATGAAACCAGGGTAGTCATGCTTGGCAGTTAAGTGCCCTAAACTGGTGAGTGAACTCACTGGCTCTGATTTCAGCTTCAAAAATATTTACGTATGTGCTGGTGTGTTAGTGTGCATACAACACAAGTGCAGTGAAGAACCTGTAGGAGAAATGTGGGTCTCCCAGAAAATGAATTCTGGCCATCATGCTTAGCAGTGATCACATTTACTCACCGGTAAAATTCTCTGGCATTCTTAGAAAATATGAAGAACAAGTATTTAGTCCCCAGAATAAAGTAACACTACCCAAACATAATGGATGACAGCATAAATATTGTTTTCATTTGCAAATTAGGTTTTTTATTCAAATTATCCCACATTTGTGGAATACAATATATTATAGAGCTTTATCACATTAATTATATGCATGAGGTTTCTCTCCAGTATGACTTCTTTCATGTATTTTAAGAAGACTTTTATGTGTAAAGGTTTTACCACAGTGATTACATCCATAGGGTCTCTCCCCAGTATGAGTTCTTTCATGTGTTTGAAGATTACTTTTATAGGCAAAGGCTTTACCACAATGATTACACTCATAGGGTTTCTCTCCGGTATGACTTCTTTCATGTGTGTGAAGATTACCTTTACATGTAAAGGATTTACCACATTGACTACATTCATAGGGTTTCTCTCCAGTATGACTTCTTTCATGAATTTGAAGATCACTTTTACATGCAAAGGTTTTACCACAGTGATTACATTCATAAGGTCTCTTTCCAGTATGACTTCTTTCATGTCTTTTAAGATTGACTTTATATGCAAAGGTTTTACCACAGTGATTGCATGTGTAGGGTCTCTCGCCAGTATGACTTCTTTCATGTATTTTAAGATTACTTTTACATGCAAAGGCTTTACCACAGTGATTACATCCATAGGGTTTCTCTCCACTATGCCTTCTTTCATGACTGAGAAGATGACTCTTCTGTGCAAAAGCTTTACCACATTGATTGCATACATTACATTTCTCTCCAGTATGATTTCTTTCATGAATTTGAAGATCACGTTTCTGTCCAAAGACTTTACCACACTGACTACATTCATAGGGCCTCTCACCAGTATGACCTCTTTCGTGAGTTTGAAGATTACTTTTACATGCAAAGGCTTTACCACATTGGTTACATTCATATGGTTTCTCTCCAGTATGACGTCTTTCATGTATCTTAAGATTACTTTTATATGCAAAGGTTTTACCACAGTGACTACATCCATAGGGTCTCTCTCCAGTATGAATTCTTTCATGTACTTGAAGTTGATTTTTATAGGCAAAGGCTTTACCACAGTGATTACACCTATAGGGTCTCTCTCCAGTATGAGTTCTTTCATGTACTTGAAGATCACATTTATGTCCAAAGGCTTTAGCACACTGACTACATTCATAGGGTTTCTCTCCAGTATGAATTCTTTCATGTCTGAGAAGACGACTTTTCTGTGCAAAGGTTTTATCACATTGATTACACTTATGAGGTATTGCCCCAGTGGAAGTTCTTTCATGTATTAGAAGATAACTGGTGTGTGCAATGGCTGTATCACATTGAGGATATCCATGTGTTTTTCCTCTGGTATGAGTTTTACATACTTGATCGAGACTGTGACATGAAAAGCGTTTAATTCTTTCATTATATTCATAGTTTTTTACTTCCAAATGAGTTCTTTGATGTACTTTTAAAGAGGGATCAGATCCAAATGTTTCATTATGTTGCTTACATTCATAAAGATCCTCTTGAGTATTGGATATTTGTGTGTCTTTGAAGATGATGTACCTATCAAAGGAAGAATAAAAACAAAAGGTTTTCACATTGCATTCACATGGTCTAAATTTTTATGCCTCATGAAGAAGTGGTGTAGGGATTAGGGTTTCTCATGAAAACAAGGTCCCCGACTCTCATAAATTGTTCCTTTCATTAAACTATAGTAAGTCCCTCACTACAAGGATTTGAAGACTACTAGTAATAATAGGGGCGATTTGCTTATAACAGGTCTTGTTCATAATCTAAATCCTTTATAAATGTGTATTCCTTATATGATACTTGATGGGCATGAAACTATGTGGATGGACAATTATACAACATGCCTCTCATATGTCTATTATTGAAATTGTGACATCTATTATGGCATTGTTTCCTTGTCTTCTTTCTTAAAGAAATGCATTGCAAACAATGATCAGCACCTGACATTAGAGTACAAGGTGTTGTGAGAATTTAATAAGCATTACAAAGCTGTGCTTATTTACACTATTGCTTTTTATTAAAAGTTTAGGATACATCAACATTTTTCAGAGGTACCTGGTACATATGTATCAGCTTGCATATGAAAATTACCTTTCATGTCTTCTAGAACTTTGATCATATTCTTCAATATTATGGTCTTCCCATTTATAGCCTAAAATACAGTACCAAAAAATATATTACCTAAAATTAGGCACAATTTACATTTCTATCTTCAGGGAACTTTAGAACAATACCTAATTTATTCGCTGAATTCTTCTTCTTCCACAGTCAAAATCACAGCACCAACCACCAAAAAAGGCTTGGCCCCTTAGGTTAAAAAGTGACAGAAAGCTCACATTATTACCTATAGCAGTGAGGTTCCAGTAGGTTTCCAACATCACATCTTTGTAGAGACTCTTCTGGGAAGGATCCAGCAAAGCCCACTCTTCATGCGTGAACTTCATATGCACATCCTCATAGGTCAATATATCCTAAAATGTCCCATATAAGTATATAATGGAAATGTTGAAATTGACTTCATTGTAAATGTAGACTTCATTGCGAATAAAGTTAGATAATTCTTTGTACTCAACATATTCCATGACATAAGTTATAGAATTTCAAATACAATAACCAATTCATTTTAGAAGGAAATTGAAATGGAGGATGACGCCTTCCATTTCTGTGACCACAAGATAGAATATCACATTGTAGGAGAACTGCGTAGCAGCACCTACAGTGAGACTTATAAACAGAGTATCACTATTCAGTACACAAACGCAGAAAAATTTTATCAAAATGATTAACTTTTAAAAGGATAGGTGTGGTGGTACACACATATAACCCAAAATCCCAGGAGGAAGAGACACATGAATCTCTGTGATTTCCAAGTCAGTCTGGTCTATGAAGAGCTAGCCAAAACAGCCAAAGGTACATAGTGAGACTCTGTCTCAAACAAATAAAAACAGAAAACACTCAGGGGCTCACTCAAAATTGCTACATAGAATTTAGAACATTCATTCCAATTCTGAACCTGTTCATCATAAATTGAAAAAATTTCTTTGGAAGGCATTTTTAAGAAGTTACTGACTAACAGGTAAAAGTAATCAAAAACGTTAGTAAAATAAATGCTGATCCAGAAACAATAAAAAAATAGCAATACCTATAGGGATGGAGATTATAAAGATGGGCCAACAAATAAGATCACCTACTGCTACTAAAGATGACTGGAATCAATCCCCAATACTCACTTGCAGGCTCCCAAACATTTCTTTTTTTTTATTGAGAAAAGGAAAAAAAAAGTTTCCCCCTCCTCCCAGCCTCCCATTTCCCTCCCCCTCCTCCCACCCTTCTCTCCCTCCCCCACTCCTCTCCCCCTCCCTTTCCAGTCCAAAGAGCAGTCAGGGTTCCCTGCCCTGTGGAAAGTCCAAGGTCCGCCTCCCTCCATCCATGTCTAGGAAGGTGAACATCCAAACTGGCTAGGCTCCCACAAAGCCAGAACATGAAGTAGGATCAAAACCCAGTGCCATTGTCCTTGGCTTCTCATCAGCGCTCATTGTTCGCCACGTTCAGAGAGTCTGGTTTTATCCCATGCTTTTTCAGTCATAGTCCAGCTGGCCTTGGTGAGCTCCCAATAGATCAGCCCCACTGTCTCAGTGGGTGGGTGCACCCCTTGTGGTCCTGACTTCCTTGGTCATCTTCTCCCTCCTTCTGCTCCTCATTGGGACCTTGGGAGCTCAGTCCAGTGCTCCAGTGTGGGTCTCTGTCTCTATCTCCATCCATCACCAGATGAAGGTTCTATGGTGATATGCAAGATATTCATCAGTATTGCTATAGGATAGGGCTCCCAAACATTTCTAACCCCAGGTCAAGAGAATCCAAAGCTCTCTTCGGACTTCACTAAATACCAGACAGAAGAATGGTACACAGCCATGTATATAGGGAAAAGATTCACATATTTGAAATTTTAAAAATGTAAAAACATACACAAAGGAAGGGATGGTGTTACACACCTGTAATTCAGTGATTCAGGAGATCACTATCAATTTCATGTCCTCTATGCATTCTTGGTCTGAAAATGACACCCTCTACCAAAGATCAAAAGTGATGTGGGCAAAGCTCAGCACAAGAGGAAATGCTTGACGTGTACAAAAACCTAATTTGTGCAGCCAAAACTATAAGCATAAAAATATCAGGCAAGAAAAATGGATTAGCAAGGGAAAGCAATTGCTTCTCCTTTACCTTCCATTCTTTAGGAATGGAGTCTCTAATGATGGTGTTGGGGTGGCTGCAGGAGAAGGCTGCTGAGGTTCAACCAATCAAAGCATGGGTGAGAGGATAAGCACTCAAAGCTCTAACCCAGAAAGGCTCCTCCTCCTCAGGGTTGCACAAGTCACCAGTGAAGGCCACACAGCAGAGATAAATGCACAAAAACAATATACTATCTGGAAGATTTTTCATTGAACAGCCAAACATGAAGCAAAATACATTTAGTATAGCTTTAAAAATAATCATATGATGTAACACTGTCAAACATGCAAAGTTTCTTCTGACCCTCAAGGCAATCGCTTAACTGTCATATCTTGTAATATGAAAACACAACTTATAGCTATCAAACACAAGTATTAAGAAAAGATTGGGCCAAACAAGTCCAAAATCTTGCAGGGCAACCCTAAATCCTGCAGCTCTGTGTCAGACACCTGGGGTATCATTTCCAAAGGGCTTACATAGCTGTTTCTCACTAGAACTTCTCTCTCTCTCTCTCTCTCTCTCTCTCTTTCTACTTCCTACGAGCAGCTTTTTATGGCAGGTTTCTCAAAGTGTGGGTATTTTAATATACTGTTACTTCAAAATGGAACCGAGGCTGTATCTCATGCCTCCATGCAAATAAGTCTCAATTTCTTCAAGGTGGCCCAGGACCCACACTAAGATTGCAGGTTTTTATCATTGAGACAGGGTGTCCTGTAGTCCCAGGTGATATTGAATCCACTGTAACCAAGACAGCTCAGCCCTGACCTTCATCTTCCTACCTTAATTTCCAAGTGCTAGAATTACAGGCACAATCCACCACTCTGGGATATAAGGCTCCAGCTTTTTGAAGTTATTATAGTAGGGTTCCCTCTTTAAGTAACACAAAGGAAATAACAGTTGACCATTCCCAGAAAAGAGAAAACCAGTGGTAATGTGCTGATGCGCTTGATAAACAAAGCACTGAAGCATGGGGAAAGAGGCGCCAACAGAGAGCTAGGAAAAGCTGTGCATTGGGAGGAGCTGATTCTCCAAGGCTCTTCACTGTCAGGCCTTCACTTTTGAGACTACATATGTATACAGGACATGACCTAAATTGTTGATGAGACCTCTGGGGCTTTACCCACGGCACAGTGGCTGAAGAGCACTGCCTGCTCCACTAGAGGATACGGTTTGACTCCTTGAAACCTCATGGTGACTCGGTGATCATTAAGTCCAGTTCCAAAGGACTCAGTGCCCCCTTCTGGCATTTTCTGACTGCAAACATGCATGTGGTACATAGACACACAGGCAGACAAAATACCCATACATATACCATAAAACATTAACTTATAAAAGAAGAAAGATCAGACTGCCGAGTTAAACACAAATGTCTGGAGAACTAGAGAATTTGGAATGATTAGATTCAGAACACTTTGGGCCAAGTGAGAAGCTCAGTGGTTACCAGCACTTCAAGTTCCTCCAAAGAACCTGGGTTTGGTTCCCTGCAACCCATGGTGGCCCACAAACACCTTTAACTCCACTTCTAGGGACTCTGACTCTTTTCTGGTCTCTTCTGGGCACCAGGCACACATACTATACACAGGCATATAATCAGGCAAAACATTCATACATAGAAAAATTAAAACTCTTGTCATATGATAGGGCATCTCTAGGGTATATTCCCAGGAGTGGTATTGCTGGGTCCAGGGGTAGGTTGATCCCGAATTTCCTGAGAAACCGAAACACTGATTTCCAAAGTGGTTGCACAAGATTGCATTCCCACCAGCAATGGATGAGTGTACCCCTTCCTCCACAGCCTCTCCAGCAAAGGCTATCATTGGAGTTTTTTATTTTAGCCATTCTGACAGGTGTAAGATGATATCTCAAAGTTGTTTTGATTTGCATTTCCCTGATCGCTAAGGAGGTTGAATATGACCTTAAGTGTCTTTTTGCCATTTGAACTTCTGTTGAGAATTCTCTGTTCAGTTCAGTGCTCCATTTTTTAATTGGGTTAATTAGCATTTTAAAGTCTAGTTTCTTGAGTTCTCTATATATTTTGGAGATCAGACCTTTGTCTGTTGTGGGGTTGGTGAAGATCTTCTCCCATTCAGTAGGTTGCCTTTTTGTCTTAGTGACAGTGTCCTTTGCTTTACAGAAGCTTCTCAGTTTTAGTAGGTCCCATTTATTCAATGTTGCCCTTAATGTCTGTGCTGCTGGGGTTACACATAGGAAGCTATCTCCTGTGCCCATCTGTTGTAGGGTACTTCCCACTTTCTCTTCTATCAGGTTGTGTACCCACCCACTGAGACAGTGGAGCTGATCTATTGGGAGCTCACCAAGGCCAGCTGGACTGTGACTGAAAAAGCATGGGATAAAACCGGACTCTATGAACATGGCGAACAATGAGGGCTGATGAGAAGCCAAGGACAATGGCACGGGGTTTTGATCCTACTTAATGTGCTGGCTTTGTGGGAGCCTAGCCAGTCTGGATGTTCACCTTCCTAGACATGGACGGAGGGGGGAGGACCTAGGACTTACCACAGGGCAGGGAACCCTGACTGCTCTTTGGACTGGAGAGGGAGGGGGAGAAGAGTGGGGGGAGGGGGAGAAGGGTGGGAGGAGGGGGAGAAGGGTGGGAGGAGGGGGAGGGAAATGGGAGGCTGGGAGGAGGCGGAAACTTGTATTTTTTTCCCTTTTCTCAATAAAAAAAATTAAAAAAAAAAAAGCTCAGAAACACAATACAAAAAAAAAAAGAAAAATTAAAACTAAGTCCTACTAAATAGAAAACAATTAAAGGGCCTTGAGATGTGGCTCAGTTGGTGGCACAGCATGCATGAAGCCTTCAGTTCAATTCCTATTCCTTAAAAGGGGCAAGGACCAGGATATCTGTAAGCTTTTTTTTTTTTTAATTTTTAAAAATCTATTTTTTTAACATTTCTACCTCCTCCCATCCTCTCTTTTCCACCCCACTTCTCCCATTCCCCCACCCCCTCACTCGCCAGTCCTAAGAGAAGTCAGGGTGCCCTGCCTTGTGGGAAGTCCAAGGCCCCCCTCCAACCAGATCTAGGAAGGTGTGCATCCAATCACACTAGGCTCCCAAAAAGCCAGTACATGCAGTAGAATCAAAATCAAGTGTCAGTATCATTGGCTTCAGTCCATCCTCATTGTCAGCCACATTCAGGGAGTCCGTTTTGATCACATGCTCATTCAGACCCAGTCTAGCTGTCCTTGGTGAGCTCCCATTAGATCAGTCCCACCGTCT